AAATTTTCAGTTTTAAATATGATTTGGAATGTTTCCCTTAAGTATAAACATGCTTAGGTGGTGATGACCTTCTGATATATAATATATAGTGAGAGACCAAAATAGAGTTAAAATGTTTGAGAAGCATTGCTTTAGAAGAAAAGTTTTAATTACTAGAAATCGTTTTAAAGACCATTAAGAGATAAAAGTTATCTGTTGACTTAATTACTAAATTTTATATTTATTTTTTAACCTGAATTCATTATCAACTTGTATTTTATCATCAGAAAAGAATCCGTTAATAAACTTTCTAATTCCAGTTGTCTGATTAAGAGACAAACTAGTCTTTGTAATCTTACGAAAAATGCTTTAAATTTTTCAAAACCTAATGTTTGGAAAATTTCACCTAAAAGCTGAATATTAACAATTATCTGCCTTGCTACATTTTCAAAATGACATCACAAATGAAGGGAAATATAAAACTATAAATTATAATTCCATGAGGATCCCATACGTGTGTCTTCCAGTCGTATACTTAGGAAAAGGAACTGATAGTAATAAAGACATAAATTTTTAGAAGTGTTGTTGTTGTGACTTATCTCACTTGTCTGATAGTAATATCAGAACAAGCCCACAGAATTCATCGTAACAAGGAGAGCAAGATTGCGCCTGTTGTTGGAGAGAGCCTTAAACACCAAACACGTGACACTACGACTTCGTTCAGTTCCACCCCAGTTCTGATGGACAGCACTCGGGGAGGATGAGTCCGAGCGTCTCTTAACCCTCTTTCCCCACCACCATCCTCTTGAGAGCACTTTCGGCTCGCCATGTATTTAGAGTGCCTCATACCGCAAAAAGACACTATACATTTAAAAAGATCCATACCTTCCCCAGGATTCGAACCCGGGCCCTTTGGTATCGCAATAGGCTCTCTTAATCCACTATACCGTCTGGGCGACATAAATTCGAAATTTTATGCTGAAGTGAATGAAGCAACAATAAATATCCAAATGAGATACCGCCATTCTTTAAACAGCCCTTAGCGCAAGAAATCACATGAAAATTAGAATTAATAGATCACTCCAACTGTTCTCACTTCAAATTTATTTCGTGTTTAACTGAATATTTTACTTTGATTATTTTTAAAATAGTTTAAAATCCGGAACCCTCTACAGAAATACATTTTATCGGAGCATTTTCTATTATTGTAAATAAATTTGCTTACCATCAAAATTTCGAGAACAAAAATTGTATTTCCATCAAAGGCTTAGGCATCTGTCTCCATAAATAACCATGGATTGAAAATTCGTAACTTTACGTACCTAACACATATTAGATCAGTCTGAAAGCCGATAGTTAAAGCTAATATACTTGATTTAAGACATAACACCAATGCTGAACATTTCAACGGGACTTAAATATGTACTATCTAGTTAAGAAAAGCAAATATACGAAGAAAGGATGTAAATCACAGGAAAAGGATGCAGAGGAAGTATGCTGGAAACAAAGATATAAAAGCTTTAAATTGCCTGGCTATGAAAGATGAAAAGATAAGAATTAAAAGGAATAGTTTGCAAGTGGGTAATTGCGAAAGGATGAGATAATAAGAATTACGGGAGATAATATAAAGTAATGAGCTAAATGTGCTTGATTGTTACCGCTACCCTTAGAAACTTTTCGAGTGCCGGATATTTTCTGTTTCTGAAGTTCAGAGAGGAAATATTTTATTTTACTCTCTGCTAATTAGCAAACTTTTGTTGATTTTGTTTTATAGTGCTTTTTTTCTAATAGTGGACGTTTGTTAGATTTTTTTCTAGTGGACATAACACTGACGACTAATTTCTGCATTTACAATATGTACTGGCTCAATGCGCAGCATAAACGTTTTGCTTAACTAATATTTAAAAATATATTCTGTCGCAATATTCATTGCATGAATATTAGTTCTATATATATATATATGTGTGTGTGTGTGTGTGTGATGTACCAGCTTTAATCGTAGCTTAAATTATCAGACGATAAGTTTTTAAAAAAAACAGGATCCATTTATTATTATTCAGGAGAAATAGCAATTACAAAATCAGATATCCGGAGTAAATAAAAAGAATTACTAAAAACATTTTGTATGAAGTTTACTGCATCATGACATTTAAGAAAAAGCTTCCGATATTCTTTTGCGAGTCCTTTTATAGCCTCTGGAAAGGCGGAGCTTTCAAGAAATGACGTCAGCCAATCCAGTTCGCTTTAAATATTTCCAGAACATTCTATAACTGTACGTGTAGAAAAGGCGGGAAAAACAACTACTTGACTACGGGCTGTGGATTAATTCCACGTACTTTGGGGGCAAATGAGGACGCGGGGGGGGGGGGGGGGGGGGGGGGGGGGGGGGGGGGGGGGGGGGGGGGGGGGGGGGGGGGGGGGGGAGAACGTCGCCATTAAAAAATGAAAAGAACATACAGTTAGAATTTTAAGTGTATTCTTAACTATGGAATTTTATTATTACACACACATATATATATATATATGTATGTATATATAATAATGTTTAAAAGTCAAAAATCATGTCGATGTTTTTCAACTGCGAAATTATTGAGCCGCTTTATTTTCGACGATGATATTTTGTACCACGATGTTTTAGAACTGCGATGTTTTCACTTTGCTTTTTCCGTTGTTAAGTCTTGCGCGTTGTTAAGTCTCGCGGAACAGGGAAACCCAAAGTTATCTAATCATAATAAGATAGTTTTAGAACTTAAAATTAAACAGTTACAAGCAAAATTCATTATTACAAAAATAAACAAAGCAAGTAACAACTTCAATATTGTATGAAAGAATTTCTACTGTAATTAAATAAAGCAAGAACTCCTTTACTACCAGTTATCAACACGTCAATACAAATGCTAAAATTCTTCAAAAGAGTTTCATCGAAGACAAAATTACACCCGACAACTACTTTGTTCTCAACTATTCCGCTTTATTACAACTATTCGCAAATCTTTATGCGCTTAAAATATTTCACAAAATCCCGGACAAGTTCAGATTCATTGCTAATGGCACAAAAAATGTTTTGAAAGAAATTGACTTTCTTTTTGCTAAAGAACTGAAATAAATTATTGACATTATCAATAATATTAATTTTCAAGACCACAATTTCAAATGGATTATTAATAACAACTAGCCGATTATAGAAGCGCTCCAAACTTTAGATATTAAGAATATTCATTGCTATTCATTGCTACGATTTCGAAAATCTTTACACTATTTTACAGCTAGAGATATATTTGATAGTCTTCTTACTCTGCCTGATTTCTTTACGCAAATTCTTATAATAGTCAACAAAGAAGAATGGAAAATCTACTTAAAAAGTGTATTGTTTAACGATTCTATCAAATTTAATATTAAATTTTACAAACAAGTACGGCGAATGCCAATGGGCTCGAACACCTCATCCGAAATTTGTAGCTTATTTCTCTTCTCACAAGAATATATGTTTTAACTATCACTTACTAATGATCAACGTAACTATTTTTCCTACATTTATAGATATGTAGATGATATGATTGCAATTAATAACTTTATAAAATAGAAGAGGCAAATATCTATCCTGTATGCCTGTATATTTTGTCTTAGTGATGCTCGTTTGGTGCATCACTAAGACAAAACTAGCCCACTGCAGCAAGAAATAGTTTACCTTCATTTACAAATTTTAAACTACAAAGGTATTAGAATCTGTGATAAAAGAAGAGATTTCAATTTTCGCACCATTAAACTCATCGACTGCAATTCTAGCATCTCCAAGAAAGTTATAATTAATTACATTCATACCCAAATTTTTAGATTAAAAAATTTTGCAATGAAACAGACTAACTTCAAGAAGAAATACAAAATCTTAGTAATATCTTCATAGAAAATCAAATTCCAAAACTCGCAATTTCACACACCTTAAAAAAACCATTAACTTCATTTTTAGATTACTTGTTTACAGTGAAATGATATTTTTTTACCCAAACCTGAAAAGAAGGTAACTAATGGATGACTTTTACGAGTAATTTAAGGTGAATATGTAATGAAACATCGCTCTTTTCTCTTTTAATTCGGCTAAGATGTAATGAAAGTACTGTTCATTACATATTTTATGGAATTACTGGCAATCTATCCTCTAATACTAAATAAAAGGGCTTCTTTCTATTTCTTAAGACGTTTCATAGCTCGATTACATGAGGAATTTCGATTTCTTAACACCTTATTTGATTTTCCTGTACTTTTGGCCAGTTTTAAAATTAAGATTATAGAAATGCATTGCCATCTCAGAGGATTTCTCTTAAAAGACTTGGACCAGAAAATGACGCCATAGTTGATCCCAAGTTGGCTTCTTCCTTGTTAACACCCACCATTCCAGTTCATCCACCAATTGAATCACACCGAGAAAGCGTGAGACTTTATTTTAATTGTGCTGTCGCTATTCGACCTTTTTTTTTCTACGGGAATTTTTAGTTTATTTTTTCTTTTTTGTTTTTGTAAACCTCTAAGCAAGGTTCGTTGAATTCTGACAAACCTATCGGTTTCCATTCTTTAAGCAATTCAAACATTCTGCTGGGATGGAGGTTTTAAGAAAGGTATGTTTGTTTTAGTTTTTATAATTTTCAAAATAAAGTTTAAGTATGGTTGTTTACAATTTAAAAATTTTCATAATTAAGTTTGACGTTCCAGCAGTTCGTATTTATGATTGTCGTTTGGCAAAAGTTAACTTTTTGAGTAATTGAGCCAGCCCTTGTGTTAGGCGTTATATAATTCGACTGAATAATTAATTTTTCAACTTTGAATAAAAAATGATTCATTAATTCTTGATTTAGAATATTCTTTTCGATTTCATTTAGTTTGAGTAATTAGTTTCTTTTAGCCTTTTGTAGGCTGTTTCAGGTTTTTTTTTACTATTTTTTAGCATCTGTGTATACAAGGTAACCAACAAACGTTTTTGCTCGTTTTGGACAGTCAGAGAGAAAATGTCATACAACAAATAATAATCACCGCTGATCCTCAAAGTAATCATCATCGGCATCCAGTGCCTTTTGCCAATGAGTGGCTAGCTGTGCGATACCATTGCAGTAAAACTCAGGAGTCTTGGACGCAAAGAAATCCGTGAGGGCCTTTTCGAGGTCAGGCCGGTTGATGAAGGATTTCCCATGAAGATAGTTGTCCATGGAATGGAAAAGGTGGTAGTCTGTTGGCACAAGGTCTGGGGAGTATGGCAGATGAGGTAGTGCCACCCAGAACAGTCGCTGGATGGTGTCCTTGGCCTCCCGAGCTATATGCGGCCTCGCATTGTCATGGAGGAGGAGTACATCTATACGATTGACCAATGCTGGTTCTCTGTGCATCAGTACCTGATGCACACGTTCCAGCTGCTGGGAGCACAGGGCAGCCGTGATGGTTTTGCCCACTGGCAGGAGCTCATAGTGCACCACTTGGCGACTAGTCCACCAGATACAGAGAATGATCTTGCGTGGGTGGAGAAGAAGGTTTCGAAGTGTGAGGCACAGGGTCCTGTGGTGACAACCAATGTCTGGAACGCCTGGGTGTGTCATACTGGACCCACTTTTCATCGCTGGTGAGTACTCGATTAAATATGTACGCACTGCAGTGCGGAGTAAGCAATGACAAACAGGCAGCAACATGCTGTTGCTGTTTGCATCGGACAGTGAGTGGGGTACCCACTTGCTCAGCTTGTATGCCTTTCCTATGCGGTGCAAATAGAGTCTGCGTTTCATCAGATGCCTGAAAGTGTGCAGCAAGCTCACCGCATGTTTGTTGTCACTCTCTATGGTTGCTGTCCGTGCCTCATCGACCAGCGCATCTAGCCGACCGCTGCATGGTGCATCACTTAGAGACATTTACCCTGACCTGAACTTCTGGAACTATTGCCTAGCGGTTCGTTCATTTACGGCATCATCCTTAAAGTCCTGGAAAAATCGACGACTTGATTCTGCTCTGAGAGGCCCACTTTAAAATCATACAGCAAACAACTCCGAATGAGCGCCTTTGACTCGTCCATTTCAATCAGTCGCTGTGTGAATTATGTTTGAAGTATCGACGCAACGCGCTTTTATGCACTTGGTGAATGTCCGTAATCCCATCCTAACCATTTCATCACTAGGTTTGGCAACTATTTTTTATGTTGGGGTTCACTCTTCCAATGTCATATCAGAAACTGGAATAATATTTTGGTTACCTTGTTATTATTGGACTAATTTGAGTACGAATGCATGTAGGGAAAAGACCTGAATGTTTGAGAAATTTTAGAATTTTGTTTAAAATGAAGGTTTGATAGTTAAATGGGGTTTGGGGTCTCAAATGATTCAAAGGAAATAAACATATACTTATTAATCAACTTAGTTTAAGTCTTCAAAACACTTTTCTCTTGACAAGCTCTGTTTGAAGCGTTACGATACGTAAACAAATTTTTTTTGTTAGGTATAATGTTCTGTAATTTTAAGAAAAGTTTTCTCTTTTCTCATTGTAATTTTCATTTAAAGATTTCGTTTTTGAAAGTTTCATTAATTTGCGTTTATTCAGTTTTGTAACTTTTACCCGGAGAATAAAGTTTAGACCTTCAATCAGCAAGAACAGAATTTTATTCATTTTCGTTTCGTCTTTTATTTTTGATTTTTATAATTTTCAATCTTACAGCACATGCACAGATTCGTCTTTTTGCCTTTTCAATTTTTTTTAACTTCAGTAAATACTATTCTCAAAAATATACATACTATATAGTTCTCTACATGGAATACTTTAAGTGTTTTAAATTTTCAGCAGCAGAAGGAAAAAAATCAAAATAATGAATAAACTAACTGTCAAATAAGAACCATTTTTAAATCTTTCGAACAAAACATATAATTTTTATCAACATTTCAAGCCAATATGCTTATCAAATGATACTTTGACGCTCCGTAGTTGAAAGACTGAGTAGTATGTCAGCCGTTCGAACAGAGCTTTCACTATTATTTTATAAATATTAATTCCGTAATTATTTATAATTCTGATATTGCCTTTGCATTAAAATATAAGTTAAATGTACTAATAAGAAGCATTTGTAAAAGAATTAGCCGATAAAACTGTTATTTCTTCTAATGTAAAAGAGTGTCATTCATTATATAAATAAGGAAAAACGGAAGCTTGCTGATCCTACATTGTATGTGTTCACAGTGAAACATGTTACCGTACATACCAATCAGGTTCATGCTATGTATGGTATAGAAGACCTAAAGGATCAATTTCCCTGCCAAATTTTGTATAATAGGGGTAGTGGGTATTAAAATAGTTCAATAAAATTTATTAATCATATCGGGCTCACAGACTACCAGTTGGTTATCACTGCGCTATATCATAATTGCTCTAAGTTAACATGAGAAAGTAAGGAAAAGCAGAAAGCAGATTTACTACCACTTTTCATGTACTTCCTATCGCTGATTTCTGTTTGGAAAACCGAAGTATGACATTTTGATACTTGTTGTTACTTCATTTATCTTTGCGTAGTGGCTCTACTTGATGCTGATCAAGTTTGGAATTTATACCAAAAATTTAAAATTAGTTTGGTTTATTTGATTATGACAGAGGTAGGTAAGACTATCTGCTTGAAGTGAGGAATTGCTTTCGTCGAGGACTTTCTGAGGGAAACTCGCTCATAATCACCCATGGAAAAAAACCCTGGAAACACCCATTCAGCCAGCCCGTTTTTCTGGAATCGAACAAACGTCGGATTATTATTTTTGAACGACTTTACCGCTCGGCCACTGGTCGGCAGAAAGTTCAAATAAAAAATATTAAAAGTGCCGGATAAAACAAAATATGTATATTCGTGAACTATGTTTTGAGCATAAAATATGCTGCAATAAATCATAGGAAATTGAGTCTAAATTTTAAAAAACATGGTCTACATACAACTTTAGTTTCTTAACGGTTCTTTTAACGACTTTAAGTGTTTTAACGACTTAAGTTCTTTTAACGACTTAAAAAATTCCTTCTTTGTGAAACACAATTTCGTGGATATGCTTTACTCTGTTTTTCTTTCGCATTCAGTTCTGGATATATAAAATACTAATGGTTTCTCTGTTAGAAATATATATATATATATATAATTACAATTATATTTTAATAACTCAAATCCCAGAGTGTAATATAGTGCAAATTTATGTCAATCAATTCTTTAATTAGAATATTTTTTACAAAATATTAGACATTATTAATAGCTTTTTATGTTCCGTAAATCTACAATGAGACCACAAACACCATTTGAAGACAAAAACTGTTTAATTTTTATTTTAAGAAATGGGAAACTGTTTAGGCTCATTTTAAAATTCAACGCGTTATTCTTCTCTCTTGATTTATTCCACACAATGATTACTCGACGAAATGACAGTTTGGATTCAAAAGTCTTCACCATTTCGTTTTAAATTTTTATCTCTTTTGGTAGAAATGTACTGAAACACTTAATTAGATTGTAAAATACCTTTTCGATCTAATAGATTTACAGTTAGTTTCATATAAATTCCAGATAACAATACGTAATTTACCATATTATTTTTTGTATAGTTTTTCTGTTTAATAAATATCTGAAAGTATTTGAAAATAGCTTAAATTCCAAATAATTAATTTGTTAGCGCATTGCCTCCAAATTTTATTCATCAGTCATACTCTAAACCAGAACATTCCCGATACATGACGCTAAGGCAAGGATACCCATAATTATCTTTATTTTCAAATTATCAACTTTAATTCTCTCTTGCCTGAAAATATTACACTTTTCCTAGATCCAAAAGAAGTTTTGCACATTTGTAATAAAACTAGAAATTATTAGAACTTTATTACTTTGGAATCAATAAAATTTTAAAAATAAGGCAAAATGATATGAAAATGGCAATTAAAAATAATAATAGTTGATTTTATTGCTATCAATAAAATCCTTTGCAGTTGCGGTGACAAATGTTAAGCCGTAAGCATATTACTTATCTCTGCATGTAATAAAAGAAAGAGTCTGTGTGTCTTTCGTTCGTGCTGCGAGTAAGCTAATAGACCCAGGGCTACAAAATTTGGTATATAGATGCATCTAGACAAGAGCCAGTGTATTTCGAAGCAATTTTTTTCAAAATTCGAATCAGATTTTTTTTATTTTAGCTTTTCAATTTTATCGTATCATTTTGAATAGTTTCTTTCTTTCAGAAATGTGGTTTCGGCAACAGTTTTTCATTCAATTGTATACTGGACTGCTGACTGTTGAAAATCATCACTGTTACCACTTGGAAAAATGAGGGCGCAAATATTCCTTTTACCATTTAAAATGAAAATAATATCAACGATCGCCATAAAATAAAATTGCAAATAATATTATAAAAATCGAAGAACAGATAAACGATCAAAAGCAATATATAACTGTAGAAGGTGTTTACTGTCCTTAGTTTTTAATTTTTAACCTTTTGAAGACGGGATGGCCATTATAGTGGCTATAGAGTCCTCTCTTTGAAAAGACAGGGTTGTCCATTTTAGTGGCCACGTTCTTTTCCCCCATTTTCCAGGCTGAAAGGTGGGGTGCAATGTCAAAGTTGACGTCCCTGGGGTTTTAACCACTTATCTCTTTCAAAGGTCTTCCTTTTGCGACATAGATGCACCCCTCTGAGAATCCATTAAACTACACACAAGAATCTTTGTTGCAAATAGGAGGTAATTTCTTAAAGGGGGGAAAGCATTCGGTTCAAGATTCCCCGTCCTTTGGTAGCTTTTACTGCTGCTAAAGCCCCGGGCTCAAAAGGTTAAGGCATGCAGTTGAATACAGGAAATAAGATTAGACAGAAATCCTGTAACCAATATACATACTATATGACATTACAAACATATTTTATTAAATGCGCTTATGTTACTGAGGATAATAAATTTTGCTATCTACCAAAAGGTTATTAATAGTTAGTTTGTAGAGTCATTAAGTTATATCGATGCAGGAACGTGAAAAATATGAATGTTCTCCTCGAGATTCGAACGACGGAACTTCCGAATATGCGTTCAGTTATTTTACAGTTACACCAGTAAGAAAAGAGGAAGTATATACTAAACACTATGCCTTTTAAAGGCTGACTGGGGATTAGGAGACCCAATCCTGGTGTTGACAAATTATCGCCCACCATCTTTGGCGAATTAGAATCTTTGGCGAACTTGGAGAATTTTTTCGAATTTTCAAGAAACTGAATAAACACGTTATGCCTTCACCAGGATTATCATTCTAGACCTCCCGGATACGCGTCGAGTGTTCTTCCAGTAATACGGCGAAGGCATGCGAAAAGAAGGGGGAAACACTTTATGAGTTACAGAGGGAATTTAAAGATTTCTTTAATTTACGTTGAAAAGTAACGCGCTAATATAATTCGAAATGCATATGGAAAATATTGCGTAACCTGGATTGGCAACACTTTCCTATTTGGATTTACAATGAGTGTTTTCGCAACTTCGTTTTTTGTGTGTTAAAAAAATTACTTTATCTATTTCTGTACTAGACCCTTTCATAAAAAATAAGTCCATTACATTCTTAAGCGTATGCACTGAATTTTGATTAATTAATACTAAAATATGTCTATCTAAGTGCTATTATGGAAGTATTTTTTTAAAACATTGAAGTATATTCTTTCCGGCAACTGCTAATTTTCCAAAACAGTGCGTTCTGAAAAACTTAAATTTTTTAAGAACAAAGGCACAAAAGCCAACTTAAAGAAATTTAATGATTTTCCCTTCTTGAAACTATCTTAACTAGTTCACTTCTCTTTCCATACTGAGCAGCTGTAAGGAAACGTTTTTTATGTAATTCATATGGCAGATATAATTTGAGATAGCAGAAAAAATATTAATGATA